TCAAAGCGCCGCACCCCCTCTCTTCATCCTCTCACGTCTTTTGTCATTTTCTTTCTGCCCTTTTTTTACTTTCTCTTTCACTCTTTTCTCACTCTGTTGCTTTCACGGCCACAGCCCCCCTTGCTCCTCTCACGGTGTGTAAGAGCTTGGAGGTCATTGTTGGACTGGTGAGCAGCGCACATAGCTGGAATAGCAGCAGTGTTAGAAGTCTGCCACAAGGATCACAGAGGAAAAGAGGCATCCGCACTCTTAAAGAGGAGGGGAAGGAGAAGGGAGTGGAGTGGGGAAGGAGAGGGGAATTTGAGGGGGGGGCGGATAAGCAATCTGACCCGGATGACAACAGACTACCAGACGAGCTATGATCTCATCGCTCCCTTAATCCCCCCCTTCCCTCCATCCACCCCGTCCTCTCCCACTCTTGCCATTGTCTCACTCTCTCTTTCTTCCCACTCGTTTCCCCGTTCTCCCTCCCAAACTCTAATTCTCCCTCTTTCTTTTCTCTGTTCTCTGCCTGTCCTAGTGCTCACCCCATTTCGCTTTCCTTCTTCTTTCTCACTCCACCCCCCCATTGCCCTCCCTCCCTTCATCCTCCTCCTCTTTGTCCCCTTTGCATCACTTTCTGCCACCTGCCCCTCACTTGTCTCAACTCACAACACACACACACACCTCTTGGTGCACTTGCACTCTCTCTAGTGTCCCAGGACAGAGATTAGGCGCACCCCTATCGTCAGCCCTCCACACCAGTCTCTCTATTATTAATGCCTAGTCTGTGTCTGTGTGTGTATGTGAGAGAGTGTGAGGTTTATGCATGCATGCTGTAATGGCTATCTGGTGTCTCCCCTGGGAGGGAGGGGGGTGAGAGAGGAAAGGAGCCAAAGAGAGGGAGAGTCGAGGTCAGAGAGGTTAAGTGTGGTGGTGGGGGTTAGGTCATGCTCTGCAGGCTCTTCTCTGCTGCTCCTCTCTTTTTCACCCTGACGCACAATTTAACATAGAGTGTGAACTGAAACACATTCATGCAATTTCCAAAAATTCCCATCTGAAATTCTCCTCTAGGGTGTCCGAGGTTAATGAAACAGATCTGTGTGTATGTGATAGTTGATCCAGTGTGAGTCAGGATATCTCAGCCTGGGGTTGGACGTTGGGTGGAGAGAAGGACAAAGACACCTGTTCTTGCTCTTAGCATTCCTCTCAACACAATCCCTACTATCTCACCCCCTTTCACTCGCACACATGCGGTATGTGAAGTCGCTGTTATTGTTCTCAAACTGTGCAGCAGCACGGAATGCATGTCACGTGTACTCTTTGATGTAAAGACTTTGACAAGTAAACAGATGAGTTATAAAACATACCGACACCCTGAAGTGTATAATACTCAAACATGCACACCTATACGTTATACTCATGCCGCTGATTAATCCACATGGTTACTTTGATATACAGAGTTGCTGTTGGTGACAGTGAATCATGCATCATTTCAGGTAGAGAATGTCGTCTTGCCGCAGCACAGCTTTTGGTCCTCCAAGTGTTTGACCCAAAATATGATGTGTGTGTGTGTGTGTGTGTGTGTGTGTGTGTGTGTGAGAGAGAGAGATAGAGAGAAAGAGAGATCCATGCCAAAGTCAAAAACATGATTACATATGCATCTTTGGAGACAAACACATGCATACAAAGTCACTAGTGCCTTTACACTGCCTGTTCATGGAGGGATTATTGCACCAGTTTTCCACTATACCATTTTGTATAGAAGACACCAGGTGAGCTTCGGGTGTCGGTGTTGACCCTCATTTTTCCACCACAAGAGGTAGTAAAATTGGATTGGGAGATTATGAGCATACACTTATGCCTCATGAGCCACTACTGTGTATATTTATGGATTGTGGGTGGAGGTGTGTGAACTTTTGATGGAATGTTGTTGTTTTTGATACAGAATGGTCAGCTCAGTTCCAGCGTACAGCAATCTCTGTCTAAAAGAGGTTCCTGCACAAACTGTACTAATATAGTAGCTTAAGTTAGGGTATTGTTTTCTTTTATTATTTATCTTGTGTTTGTTTGATGAGCTTTGCTTGCTCATTTTCAGCAACTGTATATGCTGACAGTGTGTGTGCACACCTTCTACAAACTCCCAGTACAAACAGTCATCTACTGTGGATCCCTGAGCAGCTTCAGTTTGAAAGCAGAACCGCAGAGTCAATGGGTAAGATATGGTCAGCGCTACTCATTCATCTTTATTCATCTCAGCTAGACTGGGGATTTGAACAGCCACTGCTTGGCTTGACTTGACACATACTGCTTGCTTTTACACAGTCTCCATTAGTTTCCTATGTCTGGGAAGATTGAGTTGTCCTCTGCGGTAAGAGTGTATGTGTGTGGGTGTTTATGTGTTATCATTGGAGGAGCATGCACAGTATGTTTATGGTAGCCCCTGATGTGTTCCTCTATGATTGTAGCTCAGCCAGGGTTTGGTCGTGCCACAAGTGTTTGTTTGAATGTTTGAAAGAGAAGGAGGAGGAGGAGGAGTAGGATGGTGGGAAGAGAAAAGGGAAATAAAATGACAGCGAGTGAGTGAGTTTCATTTGCATGCTAACTGCTACCTACATATACAGATCTGGAAAGTCTGAGAAATTACAGACACAGATGGCACAGTTTATGCAGTTTTTACACTGGTGGTCATTTCACACATTGTGATGTTTGTTATAGGGAACAATAATCTCTAGTTTGAATAAAGAGGCTAAGCTGCTTGCACAGTCTGTTTACTGCTCTAGGCCACCTACTATCTAAAATTCAACGCTGATAAAATTCTGTCTGGAGATGGAAAATGTGTAGGCACCCTCTCCATTGTTTGACTGATCTTCATAAATCTTTATTTTGAATCACAAAATTATTCCTGAGTAGGTGGGACAACTGAGTGATTCATTGAACTCACTAATACATCACTGTGGAGGAAAACCACAAAGAGATGTTGGTGAGGAATAGCGGGTAGCCTATGTTTAATGAGTAAGAAGTCAGAAGATAACTTTCCTTTCAGCTTATTTTTAACTAAAAACTGGAAACATAAATGTGGCCGTCCCTGCTTTCTCTTATCTAGCATAAGAAGCAAAAACTAGTAAAGCAGTTAACTGATGAGTAGCATTCACAGATAATCTGACAGATGTACTATCCAATAATGTGTTATGCAACAGTGACTAAATGGTAAAGCAGGCTAGTACAGCAGAGATTATCAGTGCTATCTATCACCGTCTCAGGCTGTCATCCAGCAAATCCATCGGCAGTCCTGCGTTTCCATAATCTGATGATGTGCATCTCAATCTGCAGCCCAGCCTGTCTCATTTCCTCTGCTGCCATTTGTATGCTGTGCAATTAAGCACGATGTGCTTCGTGTTAGCTTCATATATTGTCCTAAAGTAAGCAACCCCTGTCCACTGTATTAGATTAGCCCTGTAATAAATAGTGCTTTTTGAAGCTTACAACTTCTAATCAGTTGTCAGTAACTGCGCTGTGGTTATTTTTGAGGGTGTTGTTTCATCAGACTGCGTTATATAAGGTTTTTTTTTTTTTTTAGCCAAAATAGGAACTTGTATTCAAGGTTGATTGTGTTGTACTGCACTGTATCAGACACGTAGTACCATTTCTGTGGTCAATCAGTGTAAAGTAATGCTTTACATAGTTTACACCAAACTGTATAATATAACATCAGCATTAAATGTCATGCACAACACTTAAGGAGGTGGATGCTATTTTGTTGGTGACTCAACCTCCTCACTTGTACATTTAACTGTGCTATGAGGATGATTGTTGATAAAATAGAATTTCAGTCCAGGCTATATCTGGCTGAATATTACACTGTGATAGTCTGTTTTGCTCAGTCGTGTCACATTTTCTTGACCACCCAGGCAACAGAATGTTAGTGGGAGACTTACACAAACATTTTCAAACATGCGCACTGGCATATAAACTCTTTGAAACTTGTACATTTGGGCACACACATGCTCAAACTGTGGGTCATGTACCCACACCCACGGTCTGTGTCTCGTGCTCTGCGTTTCCTTCGAGTGGAGAGAGATGGCAGGAGAGACAGGAGAGATGACTGTC